GGAAGACATTTCCACAAGAGAGAAGTGTGAGAAAAGAAATTGTTAGCATAGAATGTACAGTTACAGCTAGCCATTTCAACTATAAAATGATGAGACCTTACTGCCAATCTAGTACTGTATTCATAAATTCTAGGTACCATTCAAACAATTACCATGAAAATATTTATAGAAAAGGCTATGGAATGGAACAGAGTTGCCAGGTTAGGACAAGTAAGATTGCAGATCCTTCTTTGGATTTTATCAAGAATCTCTAAATATATAGCAGGAGCACCAGTCCAGATATGGCAGCAATATTCAAAACAAGGACAAATGGTAGATTCTGGAAAGAAAAATTATCTAGCATGACAAAGTGAACCAACTTTTATAGCTGCAGACTTAGCAATTGATTCAATATACTCTTTTCCCTTCATGTCAGCTGTAAACATTAGTCTAAGAAGGTGCAATGAGTCACTCTCCTGAAGGTTAGCATCAGCCATGCTGATGGAAGTTAAAAAAGGGTTCTCTCAGATGATTAAAATTTCTTTCAGATTGTAAATGAAGTAATAAGTTTAGATTAAAATATAATTTATTCACATTTCACTGATATCTCTCAAGGATTGAACAAGAGAAAAATAAAAGATTTCATTTGCTATTTTTAAACTGCTGTGTCCATATTTATTATTTCTAAGCTTGTTGGATCCATATTTGTTATTTTCTTAGCCTGTTATGTCCATATTTGTTAAACAGTGGATGGAGTAGCAGGTGGTTCAATGGTTAGCAGCAAAGTAAAAGGATTTGGCTATCTGAGGCCATGTTCATTTTGCATGAATTCTTTTGGCAAAGAATGATTCCATCTTTTCCCATTCACCTATCATCTATTTGTAAAAAAAAATGCAAGGCAGCATGAGCCCTCCTGCTTTTTGTTGACAACCAGCCTAAGAAAAAACAACTCCAGACCACAACACCAAGAATGAAATCTAATCCTCCTGAAGCTATGGATAAAAATAACAAAAAATAATAGGTATGTCTTGCATGCCGACCATGTTTAAAAAAACAAAAGCTAAAAATAAACTTCCTACTAAATTAGGATTGGAAAGCCAAATGAGGGACCCATCAGATCCTTGATAATTGTCCATGCAATTAATAAAGATAAAAATATCAATTCTATCAGCCAATCAATTCAACTATAAATAGGGACCCTCCTACTCTTATAGGCTTTTGCACATTTATAAATCTACCATTCATCTGTGCATTGAATACTGCTGCCATATATGGTCTGGTGCTCCTACTAAATTTCTCAAGATTCTTGACAAAATACAAAGAAGGATCTATAATGTAATCAATATCAATTCTGACCTGGTATCTCAATTTCAGTCACTTTCTCACTAAGAGATGGCTTCTCTCTGTCTTTTCTACAAATACTTTTATGGCAACTATTTTGATGAACTTTTTCCTTAGTGCCTCAACTGCATGAATTTAAGCATGCTACTAGATTGGCAACTAGGTCTCACTGTTTTACTGTTGAACTAGATAGAATAGAATTCATGGCCGTATCTAACAGATTCTTTTCTTACCTGTGGAACTCCTTCTGATTTTTACTTCCCTGTCATGTACAATCTTAAGAAATTTAAATTTCAAAGCCATTCACCATCTTCTGGCTTCCCGAATCCTGTTCCTTTGTTGTTTTTTTTCTTTACTTCTCCTCACTAAAGTTGTCTCATCTTTTTTAATTCCTGTAACCTCATGTCCTAGTGACATTATCACCTTTGCTTAGGGTGAAATGATTATTTTAAAAAAAAGAGAGAGAGAGAAAGTTATTTTGACCATGTGACAACTTTATTATTATTTTTTTTTTTTTAGGCAAAAAACAGTTTTCCCTTAATCAACCTCAGGCCAATTGTAGTGAATTAAGAAATATCTTGATATGACTCATACTGCATCTTTGTCTGCATTAGAGAACCAAATAATGACAATGCTCTGCAAAACATTTTCAGTATTTTGACTGCAGTTCTGTTAAACAAACCATGTTTTAAACTTCTTGTAACTTAATTCAACTATAACCTATTGCTATGATAGTTTCACTTCTATTATTCATTGTGATATAATAGCTGCTAGTATCTAAGTATGCCTGTCTGCTCAAGTGGCGAGCTAATCCCTATTGCAGATGCCTGCTCAGATACATTTGTGATTGTCCAACATCCACAGAGCCCACTTGTAGTTTATGCCACAACTAAGCTGAACAAACCTTAATTACAGTTTCTGGCAAAGAATGTGCCATCTTGTGCAATCAGCAGTTTTGACCAAAGCCAGTATGCTTAAACACTCAGCCACAATGATTTTTTTTTTTTTTTTTAATCGTTTCACCCCAAAGAAGCAGATAGGGGCCACTAAGACACAGAGTTACAAAGATTGAAAGAGAATGAGAAAAATAAAGTGAAGAGGAGTTAGGAAAGGTCAATAATGGAACAAGGTTCAGTTAGACAGAAGATGGTGATTGAGATTGCATTTAAATTTTTGGAGATTGTCAGGAGCAGGTAAGCCATAAATCAGAAGTTGCATTAGTGACTTTGTGCTAGCATAACCAGTGACAAGCAATTGCATCTACCCAATTTCACTCACAAGGCTTAGTATGATTTTAAGTCACTTTCCAATGATGTTGTACATTGGAATCACCTCGCAACATCATCTTGACAAATTGAACATGGTGAGATTGGGACTCATGTCTCATGGTCAGAAAACAAAACATTCTAACTACTCAGGCATGTTTGCCTGGCTCCTCGTGACTTATGCAGTGTCCCCCTCACAGTAAATGTTGAAAGTTTATGTCACACCAACCAGTTGTTTTATTTTGCGATTGTCAGAGCATGATATTAGGGTTTAAGGATAGGTCAAGTTACGTTAGCTTAGGTAGATTAGATTAGTTTAGATCACCAGTCATGTTAGGTTATGTTTAGTTAGCTTTTGTTTGGTTTTCTTATTGATATAGGTGATCATCGAGGTGGGTCCTGCGTTGTAGGCGCAGCAGTATTGCGTGACTGAGCTTTTTCATATGTACCATAAGGACCTATAAAAAAAATATAAGAACATTTCCTTCACTGCATCAAACAAATGAAATGAAATTATCATTGATAAGGATACCTACAATGAAAATCATAAAACAATAGAAATATTTATGAAAAAGTTAATGGACATAAAATAATTTCTAAGATACAAATTTCAACAAATCATTGAGAAAATGAATTAAAACCATAACATTTAAACTAGTAATAATGCTTACATTATTTACATTGTTTGGACTGTTGTCCTCATCTTTATTGCCATATTCAATGTTTCGGCTGTTGTACACTCCAGCCTTCTTCAGGTGATTGGAATTTTGACCTGAACCCTTTATTTCATCCACCAGGGTAGATGGTTCTAGTTTCACATGCCATGCCTCTTCCAGATGTCTAAGTTATCTCCCTTTAACTCGATTCTCCAAGTTTTTGTTCACCACTGCAATAGCTAGGTATTGAACTCACAACTTTTTGGGTTATATCACTGGATTCAATCAATGCTTTTATCCACTGGACCATGTGTCCTTTACCTGAAGAAGGCTGGAGGATACAACAGCTGAACATTGTGAATATGGCAATAAAGATGAGGACAACAGTCTAAACAATGTAGATAATTACAATACCTCATCTCAGAAATATAGACAGGTAATAATAATTCATCTCATGCACACACCTGGAACAAAGAATATATACTTACCTTATATATTATTTCATCATCTCTATATATCTCACTATCTCTATCTATATCACTATCTATATCACTATCTATATCACTATATCACTATCTATATCACTATATCTCTATCTATATCACTATATCTCTATCTATATCACTATATCTCTATATCTCTATCTATATCTCTATCTATATCACTATATCTCTATCTATATCACTATATCTCTATCTATCACTATATCTCTATCTATCACTATATCTCTATCTATCACTATATCTATCTCTATATCTCTCTCTCTCTCTATATATATATATATATATCACTATCTCTCTCTCTATCACTATCTCAATATCACCCTATCTCTCTATCTATCTATATATCACTATCTCACTATCTCTATATCACTATCTCTCTATCTCTCCCTATCTCTCTATCTCACCCTATCTCTCTATCTCTCTATCTCTATATCTCACCCTATCTCTCTATCTCTATATCTCACCCTATCTCTCTATCTATCTCTCTATCACCCTATCTCTCTATCTATCTCTCTATCACCCTATCTCTCTATCTATCTCTCTATCACCCTATCTCTCTATCTATCTCTCTATCAATCACTCTATATCTCTATCTCTCTATCTTATCACTCCCTCTCTCTATCTCCCTCTCTCAGAAGGAACAGTTGCATCCTCAATGAGACTACATGCTTTGAACATTGATTGGTGCTCAAGTTCACCCCAGATCTCAAGTGGAGTTTATATATAGAACTCATTGTTAAAAATGTTGAAAAATTGTTGCCTCTATGATCGAGAAAGTCCCTGTCTCCTTCTGTCATGCTTTATATTTACATGAGTCAGACAAAGCCAAAATTAAAGAATTGTTCCCATATATTGACTGGTGATTCTAAATGCTCTCTTTCCAGCCCTGAAATCATTTTCATGGTCTTGTGGGAGAAGACATTCTCCACTCTGCCATCTTTTCCCCACATATTGCTGCAATCACGCAACCAAAATTTTCACATGTAAATAAAAAAAAACAAGCATTTCATTGTTTAAAATGAAAACAATGTATTTTCACAAAAATTACAATTTTGAGAAACAGTAAATGCGGGCGAGTTCTTGGCAGTTGTGTTTCTGATAGTTCAGTAGAATGGCAAAAATAATTCCTTTGCTGTTTGGGACAAAGGCTCATGTATTGTCAATGTTACATATTGATTAAAAAGAAAAAGAAAGCTTATGTTCCTCCTTAGTCATTAAATACTGCAACTTCATGGTGTGCTTCCAATCACATCATATTGAAACACCAGTTCTTGTACGATCACTGAAAATAAGCAATGTCAAGCCTGGTTAGTACATAGATGGGTGACCACTTTGGAAGTTCAGGTGCTGTAAGTTTAGATGTGTATTTAGCATAATGGCATTGGATTCATTATATTTAATTACACACAATTACCCATGGAAAAAGTATGAATCCAACTCGTTCTACTACCGAGCCATGGACTAATTAGTAAGCAACTCGTTCTACTACCGAGCCATGGACTAATTAGTAAGCAACTCGTTCTACTACCGAGCCATGGACTAATTAGTAAGCAACTCGTTCTACTACCGAGCCATGGACTAATTAGTAAGCAACTCGTTCTACTTTGAGCCATGGACTAATTAGTAAGCAACTACGTTCTACTACCGAGCCATGGACTAATTAGTAACAACTCATTTCTACTACCGAGCCATGGACATTTCTTTCGATTTCTACTATGTGAGCCATGGACTAATTAGTAAGCAACTCGTTATAACTACCGAGCCATGGACTAATTAGTAAGCAACTATTCGTTCTACTACCGGCCATGGACTAATTAGTAAGCAACTCGTTTCTACTACCGAGCCATGGACTAATTATCCAAGCAACCTCGTTCTACTACCTAGAGCCATGGACTAATTAGTAAGCAACTGCTTTCTACTACCGAGCCATGGACTAATTAGTAAATTTTTCGTTCTACTATTTAACCATGGACAAATTACTAAGCAACTCGTTCTACTACCGAGCCATGGACTAATTAGTGCAATATTGTTTTTCTACTACCGAGCCATGGACTAATTAGTAAGCAACTCGTTCTACTACCGAGCCATGGACTAATTAGTAAGCAACTCGTTCTACTACCGAGCCATGGACTAATTAGTAAGCAACTCGTTCTACTACCGAGCCATGGACTAATTAGTAAGCAACTCGTTCTACTACCGAGCCATGGACTAATTAGTAAGCAACTCGTTCTACTACCGAGCTATGGACTGTTTTAGGTATAAGTAATCTCAAAATGATTTGAAGTTTTCAGGAATATGCACATATGTTATATACAAATACAGTGCATTTTAGGTCAGAAACTTGAGCATCCATAGATTTTACTGCCTTACGAATTTCCTGGAACCAAACCAAATAGAATTTCCTTGCACCAAAACTGACAACTATTAACTTTAACCTTAATATGATACCAAATCAACTGAAAATCTAAAAATATTTTCTGCCATTAAATAACCTACAAAAGGTTGATAAGCCATAGAAAACAAAATCGATCAATTTTCTTATGCTCATACAACACCACTCAGTACAGTAACCCTTTACTTTGAATGGCTCTTAGGCCTTGTAAACATTAGTACAAAAAAACAAAATCAATTAAACTTGGCATAAAATCTCACAATGGTCAATTAAGCCAAGAAGTTGATGACTTCTTAATATTGTCCCGCAGAGATGATCCCAGTATGTAGTACCATTGAGAAGTCTCTGAAAACAATACTCTGGGCTTGTGAGTGAAATTAGGAAGGTTAAAACTGTTAGAAAGCCATTGATCATTGTGCTGATAGGCAGAGAGCTCTTTAGCCTTGGTTGGCTATATGTGGTAATTTGATAAACACACCCTTCCCCTGAAGCCTGGTCACTGAATAGAAGGCACAATGACTGAAATCCTTAAGAAATGTGAGTTGCAGAGTCTGCCACAGGTGGAAATAGTGTCATCTTTTTATTTTATGTTAACATTATCTAAATAAATTATATTTTTACATTCATAAACATTTTATATGTCTTATCTGTCTGCCTACTTTTCCTTTGGATATTTGATCTAATCAGATTCCCCACTTCTCCAATAAAATATGTTAACCCCAGCAAAGCAGTCATAATTGGCTCAACCATTGTGTTTAAAAAAAAATGGTAAAATAACAGGGCAGACTGGGCTCTCTAGCTTTGTTTACAATCAAAGAGAATAACAACTCTGAAACGCAGCATGTTGAATGAAATTCACTCCTCTCCCAGGTATGTGTAAAAAAAAAATAGCAAAAGTAGGAATTGGAGCAATTGGCAATCTCACCTCATAAAAAAGATTTTTGTACAGATTAAAAAAGTGATCAGAACAGGATGAAGGTCCATGAAGAAAAAAAAAAAAAAAAAAAAAAAGAAACAAAAAACTCATTGTGATTTTTGCCCCAAAAGCTTTATATTTGACATTAAATAACCTACCAAATGTTGATATGTCACTAAACTAGCCAACCTAATCAAACCAATCAGTTTCATCAAATAATCCCACGAGAATAGAAACGCTATTGTTCCTGCTGCCATATTAGCTCATTTATTACAACTTGCTGTATGTCCTTCAGATTTTAGTCAAAAGGTTACTATTTACATTTCCTAAAAGATTAGAATGGTCGCTGTAGAGTGGGGGGGTGTCATCTCCTTCCCAACTATTCTGTAGATTTGCATATAAAATTTATGAATCTGTATCTATAAACAACTTGTCTATTCTATAAAATAAAATAGAATGTGACTATGTTTATTAGTCATACACATGAACTCTCTTATTTAATGAGGTATTCTGTTATTGTAATAGGAGGCATTTCTTGATGCTAATAAGGGAAAATTATTATAATGACATATCTCTTGAGTAAGTAGGGGAAATCAGGTTGCTAATATATGGCTTTTTATTTCTTTTGTCTTATCTGCTTTTTGAATTATTAATATCCAAAGGAATCTGAATTCTTTCTGACATGTGACTATAGTTTCCAAGTGGTACAAGGCCAAAAGTATTGGGCACCCAGTGAGGATCAAACTCACTACTCAGTCATAACTGTTCTAGTGAGACAAGCTTGCTAACCATTACACCAACTCAATGTTCCCCTTCTGACATGTGACTATGACGATTCTAAGTTATCAACTCAATTGCAAAATTACCTAAATATTGCCTTCACTTTTTGACAGTACAGTCATGCTGGCTTTCTTTCGGATTTTTTTTTTTTTACTTTTCATGTTTTTAAAATGGACAATTTCTTTCTTATTTATGATGGTAGCGTTAATTCTCACAGAATCAGATGACCAATATGATATAATTCTAGATAAAATTTTTTATTCAATATTGGTACATGTTTCAGGACTTCTATTCCCTTCTCCAAGCCAATGATTTACATCGATTTAATTTTTAAGTTAAAATGCCAACGCACAATACAGAATTGTGATGGACAGTAGATCAGAATTCTTAGAAAGAGATGATTATTCAGTAGTTTACAATTCCAAGAGAAAAAAAAGGAAAGAAAAAGTAGAAAAAAAAGATGGTGAGGAATTAGTGCAACACATGTTGTAATTCTACTAAATTATTATTACATTTGCAAGACTGAAATTTAACTTGTTTATTTAAATAAACCTCCATTTTAGCCATCCAAAATCCTCTTTCAATAACCAATTTGTATAGAAAGTCCACTCAGTTGATGTTAGGGTAACAATGGAAATTACATTTTTGTATGTCTTGATTTATATTTAACAAATGTTTGCCAATTGAGGACATTTTTAGGATTTATTCAGTTAGCGCATTTTGTGCCACTGGTCACCACAATATTGAGTCACCCCCCACCCCCATGAGGGTGTCATATGGCACAAGGCCTTTTTAACGTGGGCATTCCAAGCCCGTGTGCTCAGCCAAAAATATACCCATTGAACCTGTATATACGGGTTCAGGGCCGGTTTACCTCCCCGAAGGAGGCTCCGCCCTTTGGCGGAGCCTCCTTCAGGTTCCTCCCGTCCATAGGAAGAGAGTTCAACCGAGCAGTCGGTTCAAAAGTACAATAAGAATAAAGGTAACAGTTATGCACAAGGTCATCGCAAATCAACCCAGTAGTGAGTGCTACTATTGGAAGGTCAGTAGTTCTTGCATGTCTGAGTCGTACTCAACAGATCCCAGCTAGCCTCCTGTAGTCCGTTGCCTTATGGAGACTTATAGGTAGTTACTCCTATAAGTGAGTCACTCATTGGGAGTGACAGGTTATTCCATTACATCACATTCTGCATAAACAGGAACAGTGCAATCACTTTTCAAAATTCATTGAAAACTGGAGATGTTGAATTTGTTCCTGAGAAAAAATTCCTAGAACTTAAAGAGTCAGACTGACAAGGTGGTTTGGAATCAGTATTTTCCTTCTCCTAGACTGGTTGCCAACCAAAGCTATTGTGACCATTATGCTCTATTTAGTTGGGGGGCAGATAATTTTATACCTTTCCCAAGGCTTTTAGCTTTTTCTTGAATATAATGAATTTTTGGAATTCAAACTCAACTTTGATTTTTTCAAGCCACTATTAAACCAACCTTATAATTGCAATAGTTAATTGTACAACTTAAAATCTTAGGTTATTTGAGCAATTAAATATAACTACAGGATTGCCAAAAAATACCTTTGTTGCAAATGGAAAATTTTAGGAGAACTGTGAAAAAAAAAAAAAATGTCTTACCAAGTGGGATTTTATCAGAGACCCCAGATTTTTTACTAAAATAAATTGGTTAATTTTTTTTAATCCAATAACAATAAACTAACAAAAAAAAAAAATGAAAAACAGACTCTAAAAAAAATGAAATAAAGCACTGTGGAATAAAAAGGTTACTTCATCTCAGATTCTTGAAATGGCTCAGTTGGAACTTTCTCTTCTTCTTATGTTCTAAATAACAATTTGAAAGACTCATAACAAAAACTCATGTTAAATATTTATAAATCTGCATCATAGAAGAAAATCAATTCATCGTGGAAAAGCTTTTTTCTTTTGTCTACAAATCATGGATCATAAAAAGGCTTCAAATTGTGACCAATCAATTTTGTAACAATTTGCATAAAACAACCAACATTTGATGAATGAACGTTACAGTATCTTGAATGATAGATTTTAAAAAGATAAAAGTTGAATAACATTTATGGAAAAAATAAAAAAAAAAAATAATTAATATAATAAAAAATATGCAAAGAATAACTTCAACCAAAAAAGATGGTTTTTATGAAAATAAAATCAGTTTAAAGAATCTTTCCAAAAAATGTTTCAAAATAATTATGGGATCCATTTCAGAGTTTACAGAAAACAAAAATTAAAAATTAAA